TGTATTACAACAAATACTGTGAAACTCATATTCCTTTGTTAAGTGAAAATCTGTATCACTTCTAATCTTTTTCTTTTTTAATTTGTACTCCTTTAAAAATTACAAAAAACAAGACTGGGCGTGGTGGCGCGTGCCTGTAATTCCAGTGTTTGGGAGACTGAAACCAGGAGGATCACTGAGTCTGATCTGTGTAGTGCGACCCTGTAGACTTTGTAGACCTTGTCGTAAATACATTAAAAGATTACAAAAAACCCACTATTTTTGTGGCTATAATGTACATATTAAACTAATTCTTTAGTTCTCCATTTATTGTTTTAATATAAGACTGTTTCCCACTTTTGCCATACTTACAGAAGCTTCAGTTCTTGTCTCTATCATTAAAAAGGGCTACTATCAATGAAGTAAGACTACGTGTTTAATAATTGCTAAACTTCTAACAAGTGTTGGAAACATACTTGGTGTCTGAAAGATTAACTTATTTTTTCTTTCTTTCTTTCTTTCTTTCTTTCTTTCTTTCTTTCTTTCTTTCTTTCTTTCTTTCTTTCTTTCTTTCTTTCTTTCTGGAAAAGCTTCTGTCCAAGAGAGGGACAGAAGGGGCCCCAGGCGGTTGTCCCCCGACTTTCTTTTCGAGCCAGGGTTTCAAAGTATGTGTATGTTGCCCATGCTGACCCTGATCACCTATGTGCACGCCACTCTCCTGCTTCAGCTTCCTCACTAGCTGACACTATGGGGATTACTGCCTGTAGTGGGCTGTTCAAAAAAAAAATCAACTTTGCTTCCCAATTCTATTAATAACAAATGATTTTTTTTTTCTTTAGTGCTGGGGATAGAACACAGTGCATTCACACTGAGCTATATCCCCAGCCCTTTAAAGTTTTGCTTTGAGACGGGGCTAAATTGCCTAAGGTAGGTTGAAACTTGCAAACCTTCCTGCCCCATGCATTCTTCTAGGGAGCTTATATTCAGCAATCAATGCCTTTTTAAAAAACAAAATAAAACTTCCAAGTTTTCACAACTATTTGGAAATCTGCTCTGGTTGCACTTCCATAAGATACACAGTATTTAAACTATTTACTGATTTGGAACTAAGTTTTCATTTTAAAAGGGCAAGCTCTTTCCTGTTTACAACTCGACTGGGGACAAGCAGAGCAGCAGTTTAAGGCCGTGAAAGGTGTTCTCCAGAGAACCTTCTGGAATATATCACACCTCAAACGCACTTTCTTTTGTACCATACAGCACAGATACGCATTTTTTAAAAATATTTTTTTCCAGATAAGAAAGCAGAGTTAAGTTGAGAATAAAAAGTTTTATTTTTGAATATTTAGAAAACCATCATACTCTATTGTATAAACCACTCCATTTCCCTTACTTTCTCGACAACTCTCTCTCTGGACTCTCATTGGGCCTGAGGACTCGGGCGGGGCCTCCACCTGCCCCTGCGCCAGGGGCTGGGACTCAGGTGGGGCCTCCACCTGCCCCTGTGCCAGCGGCTGGGCTGCTCATTTGCCAGCTCTCCCGACCCACGCACAGGACACTGGCCCTGGCTTCTCCACCCTTGACCCTCTCGGCCTTGCTGAAGCCTCCTTGACTGATCCATTTTCTGGAAACCAGTATGGAGTACTGGAAAGCAACAGGAATATGGAGAGAGGTCTTACCCTATACATCTGTTCTGGGATGAATGTCACTTTGTCCATTACTTTACAGAGCTCAGTCACCAGCAGTTTTCAATGACACAAGGAGCCCTGGCACCATTTCTTTAGAGACTATTAATGGATATGGTGCTGCTCTGCAGGACATTTTGGAAAATATAGGGGACACTTTGGATATCTTCCTCAGAGGTCCCTGTGGTTTCCAGTGGGTGGGGTGGGGTGGGGGCAGGAGAGGCTCTGCTGTCCAGTAACTTGCCGGGTGGTCTGTGTGAGGAGCTCTCCCATCCTGCACAGCATGACTTATGAATTCACTCATGTAGGTCAAGACTGTATTACTCAAGAACAGAATCTAACTGTTTTACACAAATGCACCAGAGTTTTCTCTGTATGAAACTTTTAATATACACTGGCTTTTCCTAGGACTGCATCTGTGTGTCCTTCAGGGTAGAGCACGCTTGGGTAACTCTGAATCTTAGGAGAACTGCTCTTCCTTTCAGAAGGACATCCCACCTGCTCCAACCCTCCCAGGTCGGTCACTATCTGGGCAGAGCCTTCAGGCTGGGGTGACTCTGGGGAATCCCAACCACTCAGGCTCGGAGCCATGCTATACATTTGTGGGGTAGATGTGTATTGTATGCATTATACAGTGAACATATTAAGGAAATATCTGTTAAAAATATAACCACACTCACATATCTTCATATTAAAACATGTTTTCTATTATAAACCACTTTTTATTTCTCTTTTATATTTATATAGATGTGTTTTTTTTTCCTTAGGAAGGTACATTTATAAGTAGGTATTATTAAAAATGAATTCATTTCAGAATAGTAAATAAGCCTTAGATAATACATAACATATGGGAGGCATACTTTTGTAGGTCTAAGGGCCACTCATGAACTTGGGTTCAAAATGACAAATGAACTTATTCTAGAATCTAAGTGGGTTTGGTTGGACCAAAGCATCATGTGCATGGGAGGTATAATCTATTTTTTTTTTTTTTCATTTCTTTATTTGGTACAGGGTCTCACTATGTAGCTTGAACACACAGCTTGGAAGCCTAGTGATCCTCCTGTTTTTCAGCCTCCCCAGTGTACCACCACAGCCAGACTTGGTCACTGGCTCGGTGTGCCCCAGGGATAGAGCCCTGGTCCCTGTGCTTACCAAAGCAGGCACTTAATATGGTTGAGCTATCTTGCCGGGCAAGGAAGTGTAATCTAAATATACAGTAAATGTTAGTTACCACAAAAGATACATGGTTAATCCCCCTCAAAATACTATCCTCCCCCTCCCTTTGAACACTCTTAATTCCTTAATTCTTTCCACTTTCTGAAGCAGTTCTGGAAGTCCTCTTTCACAAATGTCTTTATGAGGTATGATTGAAAGTATACTGAATGCTGCAGCTGAGTGGCATCGACAGAAAGGCAGGCTTGCCAGGGCAGGATGGTGAGCCCACAGCCACCTTGTTCACCAGATCTGACATCATGAGAGCCTGGCTCTTCCCTAAAGTCAAAATGCCTTTCACTGACCTTCTCAGACCCAAAAGCTACAACTTTTGTTGCATAGGTCCTGCTTTACCTTGGTCTTAACCATCCAGCAGAAAAGTATAAAAACGAAGTATAAGAAGTAAAGTCATGGTGTTATGTTGAGCTGTAGGGGACTCAGGTCAACAATTTCTGACATTGCCAGTGAAGTGGAAGACCCAACACTATTATGGGCTACTGAACTCTTTTAGAATATTTTGCTGAGTTTATACACCTATAATCTTTTTTAAAAAAAATTATTTATGTGTGTGTGTGTGTGTGTGTGTGTGTGTGTGTGGCCAGCTCAGCCCACCAGGGGGTGGGGCTGGCAGGCATGTGGTGCTGGGGGATTGAACCGCAGTCCCTGTGTTTTGCTAAGCTTGTTCTAAGTAGGTGCTTTAGACCACTGAGCCATCTCACCAGCCCCGACACCTATAATCTTTAAATGATGGAACTTAACAAAAAAAGGGGATACAGATGAATGTCCATTTTGTATCTGTGTATTCAAGGTGGTTAGGATAGATATATAGTTGCATTCTCTTAATGAATAGAGGGATTTATTCTAATGGTGTTTGTAAATAGGATATCAAGTCCGCATCTTTTACAGCAATTAACCACTAGGAAGAATGTATGCAATGTGTTAATTATTGAAACTGTTCTACCCCAATTTAGTTTGAAACTGTCTCATTGTTATTTGTTTCTCAATAAAATTATGGAAAAAAAAAGACAGGATCTTGCTATGTAGTTCAGGCTGGCCTTGCACTCACTTTGTAACCCAGGTTGGTCTTTTTTTAAAACCACAACACATTTATTTCTGTAAACTGTTTGGTGCCAAGCTGATCTTCACATCCTATATAGTACAGTTTTCTTCCAAATGAAAGGAGCAAGGAACAAAGGAGACTACTACAGAGATTTAAATTTCTTATTGATTTCCCTGAGAAGAGCTCCTCAGAGAAGCTGTAAATTTATTTACTTTTGTAGTCCCTGTCAAATAATTAATGATATTTAAACAGTCTCTTAATTAAGAATCAGAATTTACAACTTAAAGGATTTAAGGTTATGCCATTGTGACTAATCATTTTCTAATTTATGTGTCTTGTAAATATTAGCTTTCTGTACAAGTGGAGCTTTTTGCTCTTCCCTCATAAAAATAAAGCAAAACCGAGATTTCTCTTCCAAAAAAAAAAAAAAAAAATGGAGTGGTGAGAAGGGTTTGGAGGGTACTGAAATTGGAAAAAAGAATCAAGTTATATTATGTATAGGTACTAATTCTACAATAATGTGATCATTAGGTATATCTAAAATGTACAAATAAAATCTGATTGAGGAAAAAAAAATAAAGTCAAAATGCCATGAGAGGTAAATGTTTTGAATCGAATCAGGATATCGAGGCAGCCATGACAATGCAGCTAAAGACATTCAGGGAAAAAAAGCACCAAGAGTGACGGGATGTGTTTGAAGTGAGAGAGAATATTTTGAGAGGACTGATGTGTCTTTTTGTTTTTGTATTTGGTACAGGGTCTACAGGGCCTACGGGGCCTCACTACGTAGATCAGATTCATAGTGATCCTCCTGTTTACGGTCTCCCAAGTGCTGGGATTACAGGCATGCGCCACCATGCCCAGTCTCAACTGCCATCTCAGGGATCAAACCTCGGACCCCTGGGTCTGCCTAAGCAGGTGCTTTAATCCACTGAGCTATTTGGCTGGTCCTTGATGTGTCTTTACTATAATAAAAAATAAGTTCGCCATTTGTGCTGATCGTACGTTACCCATACACGTGTGTACTTCCCACTCCTGGGGCCTCGCCGTCTCACAAGCCCACTGACCTCTAGCGTGATCCTGTTCTTCACCAGGAGCCCAATCTTGATGTCCATCAGGTTCAGGTCTTTTTCCAGCTGCTGGTTGGCCCTAATCTTGGTTACTACTTCCTCCCTCAGTCGTGCTACCTCCAGATCCTCCTGGAAATCCAGGTCACTTTGGTCCAGTAGATGCACAAATTTGCGGATTACTGTTAAGGGTGGGTTTTCAGAGCCAACTGCAGCAAGAACAGGAATACTTTAATTAGGAAAGCTTGGAATTTTTATCAAGAGGAAAGCAGGGAGGTCTGTAAGGCATCACCAGAAAAATAGGTCAATGAAATTATGTGGTCAGTGGAACAAATCATTCTTCACCATGTAACGTCTGGACAAGAAAACCTCATACAAGCAAATACACACAACTCATCATGCCTGGCCCCAGTATTTTCTAGTTATCTGACACTCATTTATCAGCCATTTCTGTCACTCTGCCTGGGACCCATGCCCAGGCAAGACATTGCCATGAGGAGCCTGAGAAAGAAGCTAATGCAAGTGACCTCACCCTTAAGCCTCTGTGGCTGCCAGATAAGAGGTTTATGTTCTTGCTGCAGGAAGCAGAAAGCAGCTTCTCTCAGCCCAGAAGTTCTTTGGGAGGAGCCATAACTGGGTGAAAAGTACATTTAAAAAGGTCACTAAATGACTATAAAGATCAAACAGGATCAGCTCCAGGATGAGTGGAGTGAATGTTTGTATTTGGCAGAAGTGACATTAAAAATTGAACCTTGGTCCTTGTCCTTTTGTGATGGACCAAGGGAGGCTGCTGAGAACCTAGGGGCGGCCTCAGCTACTAAAAGGAATAATCTCAGATAATTCCAACAGTTGCCTGGAATACCTTCACCTTTGTTTTTTTAATTCTTTAGCACTTTTGACTCTTTGAAAATATGTTTGTTAACATGCTTAGTGAAAATGACTCTGGATAAACTGTAAGAATAAACTAGATGCTCCAGGGTGAATTCTTGCTGCTGCCCCCACTGCTCCTGTGAGCACTAGTTTAGATCCAGTATTCACAGGAGAGGGGAGAGGAAAGGATCTTAAAAGGAAGCAAGACGTGTCATGTCCATGGACTAGCTCCACACCAGGAATGTAATCATTACGCACAGCAAACATGGACTCATAAAAATAAAAATTTTTAAAGCGTGACTCGAAAGAGCCCAGTCCAGCTCAGGCACCCTTCATGCCCATGAACTTTCTATTCAGGGTCCTGGTTGTTCCTCCTCTCTTGGTCCTGTGGTGTGTTGACGCTCAGGGAGAGCTAAGCCAACAACACAAACAAGCACAGCATGAAGTCAGCAAGAACAACCAAAGCTAGCATCATCTGTTGCTACTGTCCACTTCTGATGACCTTTATGAGAGGTGACCTTGGATCATGCAGTTGTCATCTGAGTGGCTTTTTCCTTTTTTACTCTCATTTCTAAAATTTCTTAAGTAAATATGTTTTATCTTGAAAAGGAGAGGAAACATATGACAAACAATTGAAATGTAGGCTTCTCTTCTGATTAACTATTGCATTAAATTGTTCAACTTATTCCAAATTTAATATAAAATAGGAGCTTCTGTGCCAGTGCCAGTGCCAGCGCCAGTCTTCTTGGAGGAGGAAATTAAAGCCTCTCTTCTTGTTCATGCCACTGACAGCAGAAAGCTTGTTGCTGCCACCACTGCTCCTGTGAGCACCAGTTCAGAACCAGAGCCAGCCATGACCAGAACACTGGTGCCTCCCTCTGTCCCTAGAGCAGTTCCTGAAGGCAAAGAACTGCAAAGAACTTGTCTTTGGTTAGGAAGGTGCTGGGCTGATGCCGAATGTGCCTGCTTACCCAAGGTTCTGTAGTCATTTCTGGCTTTGCTTGCTCTCAGTAAAGACTGTATTTTCACAACTTCATTTTTCTGCAAAATATTGAGAAAGTCATGCTCCCACAGAGTTCCCATCTACCACACCACCCTATAATTTAGAACTTTAAGAAATGACATTTAAGATCTGAGGTTATTTACATGTAGTGTGTCCAACACATATTTTTCTCTTTTTTAAAGAAGTGAATCACATAAGTTAGCTCCAAGGAGAAACAAGCCTGCAAAGGGTCTGTTTAAATAGATCTAAAAAGGGAAAGGAGTTGTGGCGCAGGACTTATATGACACAAACTATGTTCACGTAGGTATTTTTTAACGACTATAAAAATTCCTCCTGCAGACTTTGCTGTGACCAGTCAGCAGTAAGGGAAGCTCTACATGCGACCCTGGAATTACTTCTTGGGAGTCTCCTCTCTCAGGCATCAGTTGCCACACTGTTTCCTCTCCATTCCTGATCGCTGACGTCTTATTCTCCCTGTGATGTCCGAGTTATCACATTAAGCTCTAAGATCTGTTCTCTCTTAAGTAGTTAGTTCCACCACTTAATTTAAAAAAAAAAATAGGCCCTTTCAATGCTAACAATCAACAAACATTCATTTAGTTCATCTGCAGCCCAGAAAGAAATCCACATGCATTTTTCTTACATGATCTTCAAAATACTGCAGTCGTGAAAGATACTTTTTTCTTGCTGTTGCCATTCGGAACCAAGACTGAATCTAAAATCAAGAGAATCATCAAACCACTGTTAGTATAATCATATGCACTCTTTCTAAAATATAAGGATAATTTATTTGATGAAATTACCAGCCTGCTAAATAGTAAGTATCTAAAGCCTGTCATTCCCCACTTGTACTGCTTTTTCTTGAGGGATCCAAAACACTTTATATTACCGGTCATCTCGCCACCTCAATAGTAGAGAGGTGGGGAGGAAGGTAGCTTTGTACTGTTTCATTTCAATCTCAATAAATAAAAGTCAAGACAGCAAGGAATGTGGTGAGAGTTGCAATAAGTCATTGAATCAAATTAAAGTAGTCTGGGGTGTCCTACATATCCTTTAAATACAACCTTTGGGTTTCTATAGAAAAACATCCCAAGAGGTCTCAGGAGGAACCAGCTGCTACCAAGAGTTCTGCGTGCATGAGCTTGTGTTCCATGGTGAACACAGGACAGCATTTTATTAAGAAGCTACTCTGCAATGGATCTAGACTATATATCTCCATTTGTCTCACACTGTTCTAAACTCTCATCTGATTTCCAAGTTATCTACAAGCTCATCTTCACAGTCCTGTGGCCTTTCACTCTGGCAGAGTGCCCACCACACAGCCTTTACGTCTCCATGTGCCTGGGTGAGAGGCTGGGTTAGAACAGCTCAACACTTGAAGATGGCTCCTAATTATCTCTGCTTCCTCTTGCCACTCCATGGCATGTTAAGAGGAGCTTGGGTTGGCTTTCCCAAGAGTTCAAGTAATTAATTTAGAGTTCTAAACATCTACTGGCTGTAGAACACTTTCTCATTTGATTCTCCTAACCACAGGAAGGATGGAAGCCAGTTAGAGTGGTTCATGTGACTGGTTTGAAGGTGATCTCCTGAGTAGTGGACTCAGGATTCAAACCCAGGACTGACTTCAAAGCTCACAATACCATTGCCATTACTCTGTCTTCCAGAATCAAGATAGAGTAAGGGGAAAAGCTAAAGAACTTGATATGGTAGGAAAGGATACTCACCTTTACAACAGAATCAACATTACCAGCGAATGTTTGTCGCCTTTGCAGATATGCCTTTTGTTGTTTATATCCTTTCCAAAAAGCCTAAGGAAAGACAGGTCACAAAATTACTGATGAGCACAGCTGACTTACAAAGAGCTACCATGGAGCACATTTCAGGAGCACTGGGTTGGGACTTCAGGGTCTCTCCCCTCCTTCCATCTCTTCAGCTGGACATTAATTAGCAGAAGTCACACCAGCCTGTTGCTGAGTCCTCACTCAAGGTGGGGGAAGCAACGCTGGTAGGCATCTGGTTTCCTGCATGAAAGTGCTTATTTATTTTTATTTATTTATTTATTTATTTTTGTGTGTGTTTAGTACAGGGTCTACAGGGTCTCACTACAGAGCGCGGATTCCTAGTGATCCTCCTGTTTTCAGCCTCCCAAGCACTGGGATTACAGGTGCATGCCACCACACCCAGTCTCAGTCACTGTCTCAGTGCACCCCAGGGGTGGGGCCGACATGGCAGGCCAGGGATCAAACCCTGGTCCCTGCATCTGCCTAAGGAGGCACTTTAATCCACTGAGCTATGTGGCTGGCCTTCTTGCGTGAAAGTTTACTGTGTCTGTCAAAAAGGAGTAATAAAATAGAATTTCCCCCAAGAACACTCAGAGTACTAAAGATTTAGTGGTACTTGGTAATGGAAGACAATGACTGACCAATTTTTTTTTTTACATTTATCTTTTTTTTTTCTTTCTTCCATTTTCTTTGCTTTTTCCATAATTTTATTGAAGAACAAATAGCAATGAGACAGTTTCAAACCATGACCAATATCTTTACACCAAGAAGGGGTCCACAGTGGCCCAGAATGGAAAGGAAAATGTTGTGCTAATACCCGTGACACAGCTAATATCTTTAGAAGGATTAAATCTGTAACTGTTATTCGTTTATTCCAGTTCGTCTATGAGCATCTTTTTGCTCAAACACTTCTTGGGCACTCACTCTAATTCACTGATCTTGTTTTTTAAATTAGGATTGAATTTCCTACTAAAGAGGGCAAATGCAAATTTGCATTACTTTTGTAAATTTCTGTTCATGCCTGTATATATTAACCTACCTCACTCATTCACAATAAAATATGGAGTTTTATTATTTTAAAAAATAATACACTTCTTTCTAATGAGTCATTAAAAAAACAGCATGGAGGACTGGGAAGATAGCTCAGCAGTCTAAGTTCTTGTCTGGCAAGCTCAAGGGCCTGTGTTTGATCCCTGGTACTATCATGCTGGCCCTGGAAGCCTGGATGGGCTGCGCCGCCACTGAAACTCCACGTGGTGGCACACGTCTATAATCCCGGCGCTGGGGAGGCTGAGGCAAGAGGATCACTATTACTCTGAGCTGTGTAACAAGACCATGTACCAAATCAATCAATCAATCAATCAATCAATCAATCATCAAAAAACCCCCCACAGAATCAAAATGATCAAGGAAGAACTTGCTCCAGACTTTTCATTTCACACCCCCTAGAAATGACAGATAAGGCCTTTTATAAAAAGAAACTAAAATAAAAATAAGTTATTAGCTGGACATGGTGGTACACACTGGTAATTCCAGCACTCTAGGATTCTAAGGCAGGAACACTGCAAGTTCAAACCCAGCCTGGGCAACTTAGTGACTTACTAAGAATCTGGTTCTAAATGGGGACTGGGGCTGGGATGTAACTCAGTGCCAAGACCCTTGTTCAGTTCCCAGTGTTAAAATGAGAAGATACAGGGGTCTACAGTTAGCAGGGACCCTTTGAAAAGAGAGGGCAATTGGAACTGTGTTGTTGCAGGACCAATAACACAAAAGTTCACAAAACTACTGGGATTCTTCAGGATTACTGTAAGCTTGTGAGAGCCTTCCATGGCCAGCAGAGTAGCTGCGAGGAAACTATCACCTCACCTACTTGTCAAGAAGTGGGCAAAGTATGGGCAGATGGGCCAGTGGGGACTCGAGAAACAACGAAAGGGTGCAGTCTTTTTGGTTGGAATCTGACAATACCTAATTTTAAATGACCTAACTTTTTACCTAGTTTTCCTAATTTTCAATATATCTAGCTTAGGGAAACACAAATTCCTGCTTAGAAAAATCATACTGTCCAGTAAGGTATAGAAAGAAACCTTGTCCTCCTTTGTACACCTTTACATTCCCTCCATTTATAATAGAATTCCTTTAAATATTTGTTCTACCTACATTTAGAACCACAGACATTATACTTTTTGCCTTTTCTTTTGTGGTACTTGGGGACTGAACCCAGGGCCTTTGCACTAAGTAATTACAAAAGAAAAAAGCCCAAGAGAAAAGGAAAAAAGTATTTACTCCTAATTTTACTTTAGTTGCTTTTTCTTCCCAATATTCCAATTTTTTTCATTTGTGTTTTTTGTACAGGGTCTCACTACACATATCAGACTCTAGTGATCCTCCTGTTTTCAGCCTCCCCAGCACTGGGATCACAGGCATGTGTTACCATGCCCGGATTCTGTTGCCAGGGATCGAACCCTAGTTCTTGCACTTGCCACTGAGCTATTGTGCCGGCCCTTGAGCTACGTCACCGGCCCGCCAAAATTTTTTTTTATCAGTTCCTGGTTAGGTGAGCAGTCTCTGGCTTTTCTTCGAGGGCAGGCCTACTTGTGGCAAGTTTCCTTAGTCTCCCCTTTCCTCCTATGGAACAGAACTCCAATAGACAGATCTCCTTCAGGTAACAAACTGTCCTTTATAGGTATGACTTTCAAGAGGTCTGTCTTTTGCATTTAGAGGTCTGATTGTGATGTATCTTTGTGTGAGTGTCCTCAGTTTATCCTGATTGGGATTTGCTGCTTCTGCTTCCTTCTTCTCCTTCTCCTTCTCCTTCTCCTTCTCCTTCTTTTATTTGTGGAACCAGGGATTGAACTCAGGCCCTTGCACTTGCCAGGGAAGTGCTTATTCCACTGAGCCATCTCCCTAGCCCCCCTGCTTAGCTTCTTTAACTGGAGATTTAGGTCTTTTATGACACAGAGGAATTTTTCACTCTTTATTTGAGCATTTTTATAAGCACTGTCTTTTCTCCTCTCCTTGGGGACATGCATGTTAAATCTTTATAAGTCCACAGATCCCTGGACCTCTGTTTATTATTTTTCCAGTCTGTTTTCTTGGGTGTCTGGATCTGCCAATTTCTGTAGCTCTGCTTGGTAGTTGCCAAATTGATGCATCTGCTCACTCCATTCTGGTGTGAATGAGCTCTTCAGTTTTTCCACATCTGTCACTGTGTTTTACTTTGTGGTTCTGGGAACCAAACCCAGGGCCTTTGCACTGAGCTGCATCCTCAGACCCTTATTCTTTTTCTTTTCAGACAGGGTCTCTCTAGGTCAGTACTTGTGATCTTCCTGCCTCACCCTCCCAGAGTGCTGAGATTAGAGGCATGTGCCAACCAGTGCTCGGCTGTCATTGTCTTTTTAAATTCTAAAGTGATGTTTAGTTTTTCTTTACATCTTCCATGTCTTTGCAGAGATTTTCTTTCAAATGTGTAATTTTTTTTAAAGCAAATGCTGCCTTAAACATCTTTGTCAAGGAGATTCTGTAGCATCTATACATAGATTACTTTAAAAAAAAAAAAGAAGGTGTGATTTTCTTGGTTCTTGGCATGATAATTGGCTGTTTTGAATAAATACCCAGTTACCCATATGAAGGAGCGGCAATGTGGACACTTTGAGATGCTGGATCTAACTTGACTCTGCAGGTTCCGGGTGGCTTTCCCAGACACGGGTTCAGTGAGGGACGGGGCCTGCTCTTGTTACCAGGAGGTGGATGTGAAAGTCTAGCTTTTCCTCATGGCTGCAATGACACCAGAGGTGGACAGGTTTTCACCTTACTGCTGGGTGGGGTAGAACCCCAGCTGTCCACTGGACCTCTGTGGACACCAACAAGGTCCCTTCATACTACTCCTGTGTGGTGAAGGGAGTGGTCTCATGACCATGGGGAGTGTGACTGTCCTGACTGCGCACCACCCCTGAAGGGGGCAGGGCTGCCACGTTGCTGCCTCATGGGCTGGGGAGCAGGCGCCTGAGTCCCTGCTCAACCTCTGGGGTGGGGAGGGGGTTCCCACAGGGGTCTATGGTCTTTGGCAAGGGTAAGGTGATGACTGCCTACAAGTTGCTGTGGTGCTAGGTTGTCCCTTTCTGGTCCTGCTGGGGAGCGGAACTTTGCTGAAGCTGTCTTCTTCTTGTTGGCATTTCTGGGCGGGGAGCGGGGGTGGTGGTGGCAGCTTCTTCAGCACCAAGTCTGAGGTATATGAGACCAAAATAAAACTCAGAGAACTCATCCTGTGCCCTCTGGAGTCCTTAGTTTCCTTAGTGGTCTTGTTCATATATAATATCCAGGGCTTTTTGTGGTATTGCAAAAGACAGGGAAAAGTACATAGTCCCTCTCCTCAGAAGGGAAAGGCAGGTCCTTGACATTATATAATTCTGTATTACCTAGTCTGCTCTAAATTTATTCCTTGATGGAAATCTAAAATTTTTGAAATTAGAAGTATAAGAAGCAGCATGACTCAAAAGGATCAAACGGAAATGATTAGAACCAAGCGATCATAATGGCTAATTATAAAATTGATAAATTTTCTATATGTAAGAAACAAACAAAGATGTAACTCACAATAGCCAAAAAAACTCATAGGTATAAAATAAAGAAGAAACATGAAGGACCTGGTACCATCAAAAAAAGAAAAAGGAAAAAAAAAAAAAAAAAAGGAAATAGGAAGGAGTAAAATTATAATACTGTACTTTATTTTTATTTTTTTGGCAGAACTGGGATTGAACTCAGGCCCTTGCACTTGCCAGAGAAGTGCTTATTCTACTGAGCCATCTCCCCGGCCCCCATAATACTGTACTTTAAATAAAACATTTTTTTTTTTTTTTCTGTATTTTAGGACAGGACCTACAGGGTCTACAGGGTCTCATTATGTAGATGTGACTTGTAGTGATTCTCCTGTTTTCAGCCTCCCAAGTGCTGGGATTACAGGCGCGTGCCACCATGCCTAGTCTCAATTGCTCTGGGGGCGGGGCCGACACAGCATGTGAGGGTGTACT